CCTCCCACTTGCAGCACAAGTACAATTTTCATGCCTCTGTCAGAAGTGCCAACCTGGGGAAGTTGCAATGAGCAAGCAAGGAGAGGAGTSATGAATTAACTTGACAACAGGAATTGCTGCTGATAAATCTCTTAAGAATTTGATCCATAAAGGTTACTTCTCTGTGGTCCATGTTAGAGGTGGTTGTTCTTGGGGTCTCCAGCAGCATGTGGTGTGTGTTTCAGCTCAGATGCATATCTGCTTTGCAAAGGAAAATCCCCACAGAACAGGCAAAGTGAGCTCAGCTGCACAGGGAAATGGATCTGGAACTGCATTTAGAGGCAGTGATTTATATATAAATTATAAAGTGTGTCAATTCCGGACACCCATTTATATGGAGTTTGTCAGATCCAGCTCTGGAACGTGTATTGCCTGCAGAAACCATCCGGAAAACCTAAGAGGCTAGTTTAAACCCCAGAGTGTGAAAGGCCCCAAACCAGGATTTAATGGATTAGTAAGGCTGAAAAGGACCATCACAGTCATCTGGTTTTGCTTCCCATGTAACACAGCTGAAGAACTTCACCCACTCATTTCAGCATCAAAGCTATAACTTCTGCTGAAGCTATTGCATTGCTTCAGAAAGACACTCACTCTTGATTTAGAGACTGAAAGCAATGCTCAATCCACCRCATTCCTAAGCCAAATGTTCCAGCCATTAACTACTCTTGCTATTAAAAAGGCACACTTGCAGGGCAATTTTATCTAGCACCAGCTTCATACAGTCAGATCCTGCTACCCCCTTCTTTGCTGTATTAAAGGGCAGGTTACAATCAGGTTTAAGTTTTGTGGACTGTCCCATGAATCACTGGATGTTTTCTCAGACAGTCTTGGAATATATTGCCCGAGAAAATTATGAATGCACAAATTAATTTAAAATACCATTTGCAAGAGAATAACCAGAATTACTCCCTCTCTTCTGATGAAGAATTTCTGTGCATTTTTGTGCGTTATATTTTGCTTTTAATCTGATGACTCTGAGACGATATGGACAAAGAGATACAGGTAAATATGTGTCACACAGATCTCTCCCCCAGAACATTAGTGGAGGCATAATTCTGTGCATCAAAGCACAGGCTGTGTCACATCCAGCACAGACACTGAACAATGTCCCTTTAGAAAGGGCAGAGGGTGAGAGTAGCTTTATGACACTATTGATTTATTCTGTGCCTGCAGTTAAAAACTATACCCAGACAGACAATAAAAATAACTGCTCTAACCATATAACAGCTTCCTGCTACTAAAATGGATTTTACACTTAAAGGCATGGAGGGCTTTTCTTTTTTTCCTTAAGTCTCAATTATGACTTTTTTCTGAATAAATGGAAATGAGAAATTGTCAGAACTGGTTTAGTCCTGACATTATGGGTTTTTTCTGCTCTCCTCAGTGTTTGAAAAGGCCAGGATTATTTTCCCATTGCAAAGTTGTGTTGAAATGCACTAGTAGGCACAATAACCTGGTATTAATCAGACYAGATAATTTGGTGCACAACTTCTACATGAAGAAATGGGCAATGGGAGTGGTAGTTTGGAATGGGTGCATCATATAAAATAAAATTGATTATGGACTTTGTGGTCAACTGGATGAGCTAGGATTGAGGTCATAACCTTGGATTTGAATGTTAAAATAATATCTAGAGCAACAGGATCATCTCCTAGAAAATCTATTTTCACTCAAAGGAGCCCATAGATTTGCACACTGCAATTTAGGCAAGCTGCAAGCGCTTTGCTACACCAAAATTGGTGTCTTGAGCAAGTTTTTAACAGGCTTCTATGATAACTAGCCAGTTTCCATGATAATAGGGAAGGAATCATAAAAATGGAAGCTCTGGACTGTGTGCACATGAATGGATCAATTAAATGTTTTAAGAGCATATAAGCCTCCCTTGAGGTCTTTATCAAGATCTCTGAAACTGCTGAAAGAAATGGAGATGGCAGGGCAATGGGTCTGTGATTTGGCACCAGAGGCAGCTGGAGAGGTCCTGTCTCTCTGWACTTGTCCTGTTAGAACAGTTTTGGATAGAAATGCAATGATTCCAGCCAGGGGATTTATTGATCTGAAACTTGGGCTTTTTTTCAGGTTTTTGTCAGCAGGGCCAGTTCTCTGCCCCAGTTCATCAGTTCACAAAGCAGCACCTACAGGTACGAAACGGAGATGGTGAGGTGATACAAATAAAAGCCCAGAATAGAAGGGAAAATCCCAAACTATATGAAAGTGTGAGACAGGTRGGGCAAGGAGAGATGTGCACCACAGCCTGTGTCTCTGCAGAATGAAGACGAGCAGCTTGGGCACATGAGGTCAGACCATATGAGGAAGGGTGCATTGGGCTGGAAAAAAATGCTCAGAATAGGAAAAAGGAGAAGGAAGAGGAGTCTGCTATTCAAGCGTCATTCCCTTTCCACAGGTTTTATGATTTGGGAGATASTGCCTGAATGACACATAATGTGAGATATTGTAATGTGATCTCCTGTCCCCAGAGATCCTCTCAGAAATTAGATTATTACATGAGCATGGTTTTTATAAAAGTGAGCAAACATGATAATAAATGAACTCAAAGAGTGGGAAAATCAAGATTAGACTCTTCACATTTGGCTGGGGGATTTTTTCCACTTACTTATGCTCYGTGATAAAGCCTAGATACATTAATTAACTTGCTTTAAAATTGACTTATTGAATATGTTTGCAAGATACATTTTTGTTTTATTCTGTAAAACATAAAAATAGRAATGTTTACACAGAAAACAACCCTGTGGAAATCATATATTTCCACCCTAGAGAGAGAAGACTTTTTAAAACTTTGTTTCTTGTGTGCTTTTGCTGGTTCTGGCATTGGAAACCCTAACTTCAGTTCTTGCAGTGGGTCTGCAAGAAACACTCAGAGGGTCTTCCATTGTCTGCTGAAACACTCAGAGGGACGTTATGCTGAAAACAGGGCTCTGCTTTCTCTGATTTTCATGTAATGGTCAAYAGATAATATCTAAGATGGAAGTTAAAATTTTCCTTTCAATTACAGGGTTCATTGTTAATCTTCATTGTATTTTCTCTGGACGAGCCAGGATGGGGCCCTTAAATGCTTACACACAGCTCCTCCCTCACCCAGGACTTGTCACACACTTTCAAGAGTACAATTTCCCWATGAATCACTCCTCTCTGTTCCTTACACCTCACTTTCATTTTTATTACTTTTTGGGAGCAGGATTGTTTTGCAGGCTTTCAATCATCAGCCTCTTCTGAGCGTTCCAAACGTTTAACCAGTTTTAAACCCATGTGGTTCCAGTGCTCAGCTGGCAGAGCAGGGYTCTGCTTTCCCACACAGTGCTGTGGGACCCCTATGCAAAGACACTCCCAAATCCCTCCTGCATGGGTGGATGCTCTCCACCTCCCTCCAGAGCAGCTCAGACAGAGCCCAGCTTTAAATGGAAGCTCACGGCCCATCACAAGAGGTTGCACCAGAGCTTTGTCAGCCTGGAGTGAAATCTTGACCCCTCTGGCTGGGGTGCTTAACTGGGAGAAGAATTTCTCTCTGAAAATCCCGACAGCTCTGCAATGTTGGAAAAAATCTTTATGGGGGAGTGATCCCTTCTGGTGCTTTTCAAAGCCTGCTCTTCAGAGTAGCAGATATATTTATATTGGAGGTGGGTTGCTAAGTACAGTAACTACTCCAYAGGAGCCAGGCACAACAAACCAGCTCCTCAGGTTTTGCTTGAGCACAGCTCCATGAGYGTGGATGGCTCCACAGCTCAATAATTGTGACAAAACATAAATCCTGAGTAGGGAATTATTTAAGGCAGCTGTGGCACCTGAGGGTTTGTGCTGTGAAGATGTTCTGCAGGAGTTGGGCACTCCCAGAAGTGATGAACAGACTGATGAGTTTTATCAGGGAAGGAAACCATTCTCGATGTCTGCTGGTACAGGTCAGAACACTGGGTATATCTTTGGTGACATAATAGATAATGAGTCATGAGATAATGAGTCATGAGATAATGAGTACTCCGTCCACATGGCCTAACCAAAGGGGAAAAGGCCACGTCTTACCTGGTGTGGCCCCACATTGTAGATTTACTACACTTATGTAATGTGAGCGCTCCAAAAACTTGTGCCAGAACCAAATCCTAGAATTTGTCTTGTTCTGGGATTTCATGCAACATATAGGAACTTGTTCCAGCATAGCTTTCTGRAGGATGAAGCAAATGTATTCTGACTCATCTATTCCCCCTAAAACAACAGTGAAAGAGAAGAAGATATGCTTCAGCTCTCTGAACTGCAGTTTTATTTTGGAAAGAAACAGGCTAAACAGAAAAAAATAGGGAGTAAAGCTGAGAGATCTGAGTGGCTGTGACTGTAACTTAGCGAGCTGGTCTTTGAGAAGTACTCTGTCCACTAGCAGGATGCCAATTGCCAAGAGATGCTATCAGTTGATTAAAACACAGCCTGCCAGGTTCCTGCTTGATAAAACTAAGTACAGTCTGATTGGGAATTCTCAAATCCATTACAGGATGGCTAGTCCATCACTTAAATCAGCATACACCACTTGCCCATGAATCATCAACATACTTTGGTAATATATTTGCAGCAGCTAAACCCTGACAGAAACCCTGACAATTTGTCAAAAAGGTCCCTGAGTGCCGGATCCTGGGGGTGGGAAATGGTGGGACCGTGAGGGTTTCCTGTTGTTCCCCGCTCAGCTGGGTGAAGGTCATTTCCTCTCCTCTCTCACGCAGAAGAAGCTGACCCTCAACCCTTGRAGGTGTGTCCGTGAGCTCCCAGAAACAACAGCCAGCCCATGCAAGGAGCTCTCTTCTGCAGGGCCACACTGACAAGGCAGGGTCACTCCCCAAAGAGGAGTGATGGTCACTACATTTGCCTCCTCRGAGGTAAATAAATTGATCCCAGAGGAAAAAATTGTCATGAACTATTAAAAATCAGTCTTATACTTTATTTCTTCTGCATGCTGTAATACAAAAAAAAAAATTTAAAAAAGCCAAAAAGCCAAAACCACCAAAAACACAAACCCAGGGCTGCAGAGCCAGGCCAGCATTCCAGCAGAGGAAGGAAGGGGCATGCTGCCAACCCATTAAGGATAATCCACTAGCGGGTTGGTGTGTTTAAAAAAAGCCCTCTTTTGTTGGCTTTTTGGAGAGTTTTGTATCTGCTGAGTTGGAGGTGAGTGTCCAGCTCCAGATAGACATCCATGTTTAAACATCAGCTGCAATGTATTTCTGATCATCCCAAGGTGATAGATGGAAGTGTTATCCAARGAATTGCTGAGGACACTTGCTAGCTAAATAACAACACAGAAATACCAGAGGAACAAGTCAACCCCAGCAGAAACATAAAGTCTTCATTCCTTAACAGAAATGAGATCTTAAGGGGGGAACAAACTGATGTCAGATCTAAAGAAAGTGAKCAAATGCAATAAAATCTGGAGGCCATTTATTACTTATCAGGTAAGCAGTAGATTATAATGAAATAGTGAAGCCAGAAAGATAAGTCTTAATCATAGGAATTCTCAGATAATGCCTTATCTGAGATATCCTCCAACTCYACCACCTTCCATCCATGTCCTTTCAAATTCTCTCTCCATGTCCCTCCCTTGATTCTCTTTCCACTTCTTTTTTTTTGGTTATAATTAAACATTGTAAGATCTACTTTTGAAATGTATGGATAACACAACACTACCYTGTAAAATGTCAATACATTATCTGGTGTAAAGTCAGTGTAACTTCATCTCTGGTCTCAATACATTTTATTTACAAGAAAATTAATAAGCAGGAGACAAATATCTATTGTTTGCACAGTTTCAAAAACGTAAACTATAACATAAGGGGTTGTTTGTGCTCCCCCTTAATSTGCTGGGTGTCAGGGATATCTCTCCAGAAGTGAGACTGACTTGGACTATGTGAAGTAAAGCAGAGATTCACAGGCACAGTTTCCTCATTTGAATTAACACAAAGTGAGAGGACAAAGAGGCTCCCAAAATTCTGTCCTTGTGGTTCAAATTTGAATATATGTTCTTAAAGCTGGCCAAGAAACTGAAATTAAACCTCAAGTAATTAAGTTCCAGTAATTTGAGCAGAAAGCAGTCCTGGGAAAGTTAGCTGGCTGAAAACATTAAGGTGAAGAAAATCTATTGGATTTTTTTTGTGCCATTCCTATCACATCAGAAGTCCACAAAGAGGAAATTTAGGGTCAGTCAGGAGTTTTCAGTCTCTGGCATGCAGACCCCAAAGGTCCATGGACCAAACCACACAAGCAGCTGGCTGGGTGGGGCCATCCCACTTGAAGTTTCAGTGTCTCTTCAAGTTCTCTGTACAGGACTGCGACGCTGCCCCAAAGTCTCCATCCTCAAGGGTGCTGCTGCCTTCTTCTCGAACWCAGGTGGCTTTGCTCTCTGTTCCTTACACCCACCAGCAGTCCTGGCTTACCTCCTGCTGCTGCAGAAACTTTTGGCCTCCTCATGGTGCAGATTTATAAGCAGTGTGATCTCCTCTGCATCCAGGCGTCACCACTCCGGGTCTTCTGGGAGACTAAGGTTGGAAATTGGAAAAGGGATCACAAAAAGTGATAAAAGTAGAAGGAAAAAAGATCAGCAGCAAGGAGGAACAGCGACAGAAGACTGGGCAGTTACTAAACAAAAAGGATAATGAGCCAGGAGAAGCCTTGGTGGAAGAAAGAGGAGTGGTTCAAGCACTGCCAGTCACCAGCAAAAAGGGTGTCACATAAAGCAATTGACCCTCTCTAAAGCTCCTCTCCAGGCTGATATGGAAACTYTGGGAAGTTTGACATCCTTCCTCTTGCAAAGCAGGGTTACACACACCCTGGAGGTGGTGGTGTGGCTGCCCCTAGGATCAGAGCAGTGTGTCCCACCAAGCCCTGGCTGGCTTTTGCAGAGAACTCCCCACTGGCTCTCCTCCCGCAGGAATATGTGTGCACTGAAGCTGTTCTGCTTTATTGGGACCAGTGCCCACTTGGGCATTACTGCAAAATCACCCCAAATGGAGACACAAGTGTGGACAGAGCTCAAGCCTAACCCAAAAGAAACAAGGCTACTGTCAGTTGCCTTAAATTCACTCACTACACCTAGGGGGAACTGTAGGGGATTTAGAACATAAAAATGTTGAAAACTATCAGATTTTTTTGATAACATGCTGCTGTTTTAGGTCATATTGGACCTTCAACATTTGCACACCCTTCAGCTAACATCAGTATGATCTGTACTTAACGAACAGTGAAACACACAGTGTGCCCAATGATGACTGAATTACTCAGGAGGAACTACAGTTGATAAGACAATGATTTATGGACCTATTGTTTTCTAGGTTCTTGTAAATAATCCTAATTGGTGTTAATCATCCACCCTCGGCTCTGTGTTATCACCAAGAAAAGTACACTTCCTAAAKAAGCTATTTAGGGTCATAATCCTTCTGAAAGGCAAGACAGCTATTGATTCCACAGGACCTGGATAGAGGTGCTCATCCAAAGGAAAGCGATTCTGGAATATGAACAAAATGCATCACACTGTCTTTCCATGCTCGCATTGAGAAGTTTCTTTCCAAAAACCTCACAATAAGTTCAGTGTGTCCCAGTAATTCCTTCCATGTGGGCTTCGTGCAATGACCCTCCAGCCTTTCTACCAGCTCAGAAATGCACCACTCAGGACATTCATTTGCTGATGTTTATTTACTGCCAGTTTGCAGCTCCTGCCTGMRTYCCCTTGCGATGGGCTGGCTGTGTCAAACCTGACAAAGGCTGCTTGGGAAGAGCAGACACCTGCACCAGGACTTGGTGTTGTTGTGTCTCTGATTTTATTGTTATCCCTGAGAAGGCGCTTTGATCTCTTGGTGTTTCCCCGTTTGTCACTCCACATCCCTKCCACGAGGGAGCCGTGGAGCTTGAGACCTCCTTGCCTGCTGGTTTTAGGTGCAAGTTTTGGTTTTTGGTGGGCTCGGTTTTAGCACACAGATGAGCCTTCTTGACCTTAACAGGTCAGCACTTTRAATAACACTTAATAGCATTCTAGAGGGTGCAGTCACACGCTGCTTGCTTACGGAAACTACAAGGAAACCAGACAGTTTTTCAATTTGTGTATCAAAGAGAAGGAGATTTACACATAAAAGGGTGAATTATTTTGATTTGTAGTTTTCAAGCCACTGTACATTCTCCAACATAAATGCTCCCTTGTCTCTGCTTTCTGATAGTTCATATCAGGTTCAGTGGCCTAGATTTTCAAAAGTGGTAATTTTTGGAGGCCAATATTTCTCAGTGCCAACTCAAGGTGCCTTAAAGAGACCAGATGTTGTTAAAATACTGCATATCTTTGGAAAATAGGGCCATTTTATCATCTTTTAAACTCACACCCTGAAGTAACAGTGTGAAAAATCCTCAGGGGTGRGTTTGTCAGAGGAATAAATCTTTCCCCACCACACTACCCCTTCCACTGCCAGTGGTCCTCACAGCATCATAGCCCCATCACCATAAARGGTTCCTGCAGAGTCAACATCACCAGTCCTTTTTGACATTCTCAACCACCAAACATCCTACATAACCTATAAAAAGAGCTCATTTCCTCAGCTATTTCATCTTTTAAGTAGCTCTCAGAGAAAAATCTCCTAAGGCCTGAGGCTGGATAGCCRAAATCTAGCTATATGGTATTTGAGGGAGAGGAGGGGAGAAACCCTATCCCATTATCAGCATTATCCCGTTACCCTTGGATGTCTTCCATGTACTTGGAAGAGCAATGCCCCATTCTTGAGGCTTCACATTGCAGCCACTGCCTTTTTGGCAGAAGAAGGGTGGATGTGGCTCCCTTCAAAGTCAATCAATGTCACATTTTTAATCAATCTGGAAGGTCACCACTGCACTTCCATCAAAAAGGGCTGGGTACAATTCTCGCTGAGTCCTGATTGTTTGTGGGGGACTCAGGTTGCAGTGGGTGTTGGAAAAAAGTATTTTCTGGTCCTGACCTCAGCACATCTTCTATTCCTAGGCTCTTTTTAAGAGTTTAASATCAAATGAGAATTATACCCAGGACTATGAGACACAATGATGCAGAAGTATGTATAGTGAAATGCCAAAATACACCAAAGTGACTTAGCTTTGTGTTTCTTTATGGCTGTGAACACATCCAGGTTTGCTGTAAGGTTCAGAAAGCTTAGGGAGTTTTTGTGTGAAGACAAGTCACAATGCTTACAATGATTTTTGAGTTTCATGTTACAATCATCTATGAAATGTCATTGTTCAGCTGGGATGTCTGTGAGCAGTCACAAAACAAAAATCTATTGCGTTTCAGGGAGCTTTGGCTAGGAGGGAGGGTCATGGCAAGGCGTGTGTCAAAAACACTCGAACTCAGGGCCCTTTACACAAACACCCATCAATACAAAACACTGMGTGTGTTAAGCCAGAAAATTCTCCCAAGTTGGAGTCATTTCATTACTGTCCTGGCACAACTGGAGCAGGATCCAAAGCCCAGTAAAATCAAGGGTAGAATTTCCATTGATTTCCACGGAGCCTGGATTGGATCCTAGATCACATTGTCACACTGCAGCAAAACCCAACCGTGTTGCAGTATACCCACCTGCTCTCCAAAGTCTTGGCTCTAGCTGTTCAAATCCCTTGCAGGTACAATCTAGGTTATTCCAGCATTTATTTRGTGCAATGCTAAATAAATACTGTTTTATCAAAATCAGCAATACTGCTTCTCGTTAGTAAATGAGGCCAACTAATGCACAATTTTTATTAAGAGGATTTGTCTCCTTAAATCAAAACCAAGTGTCAAAATCCCTATTCTATCAATCAGACCGGTGCCCTCCTGTACCAGCTGTGAACTAGGGCTGGCTGAAGACATATAGAAAAAGTGAATGAAGACAGTACGATGTTTTTTAATGAGGTACTTGGGTTTCTTTTACAATAATTCAACAAAATCTGTCTAAGTAAGGGATCAAGAGCTTTTATGTACACAAGAAAGAAAGGAGGGAAAAGGAAAGCAAAAAGGAAGGTAGGCAAGAAGGGAGGAAGGAAGAAAGGCAGGAAGACCCTCTGTTTCAGTTATTAATACTTCATGTTGACAAGTCACAAAAACACAAAAACCTTCTTTAACCTCTTGCCTGTTTTCAGCAAAATCATCCACCTACAAATTAAAATCCCCTCYAGACACTGCTGAAATTACTTTCTTAGGCAGTTCTGTAATGTAAATTGTTGTGCACACTAGGAATCATTTCAAAAATAAGATGTGGGGATTTTTTCCTTCTGTGCAAATCAAGCCAGAAGTCTATATCTGAGAGGAATTTCTAGGAAGAACTAATAATCCTCCRTAGCCAGTACTGGAGTAGGTGCCCTAAACAAACCTACGGAAGAAGCATAATGAGGCRATGATTTATTGTGTGCTATGCAAGTCCTACTGCTGTGAGTGTGCTGGAAGAACCAGAGAAAGGGAGAGGCAATAATCACCCAGCCTTCTCCTCCTCCTCGTGTGTTTCTGGATATTACCTACTCAGGATATGAGTGTGACACCGAGATGGGGCTGCATCCTCCCTGAGCTGCAGGACTGGCAAATGATCTCATGCTGCAACATTTTGTCTGATATTTAAGTCACCATTAATTAAAAATCTGCATTTGGGTATTCTTAAACTTTGCACAAATATAAAATGTCATTTTGCTGGATGTGTTATTGCTCTGTGTGCATCMAAAAGGATTTTCAGGAATGCCATCAGCAGGTGGAATTCTGGATCTTCCAGAATGAAAACGAAAACTTCCCTTGGCTGCAAAAGGGGCAGCGTTTCACCTATGCATCAGGGACTAAATACAGACAAYGAATTCTGCCCACATAAATATTTGTAAGAAAATCTTGATCCTGAAGAATTACAATCAATTAAAGGAGGAGCAGAAACATGCAATGTAACCAACATTGCACCAATCAATGCAAATCAACATGAGCCTGACCCTATATGAGTTGTATTTGAMGCTATCCAGGCTTTTTTTACAGTTTAAAATTCATTCGTGTTCTTGTAATGATTGGTGGATTGCTTGCACTTCTGCCCATATTCCCCCCAATTTCTCCAATTTAAAATACAAAAAATTACCCCCAACTAAGAATTAGTCTTCAAATGTGTTTGGTGACTTATTTATCATAAATAAACATGGAAAAAATTACCTGCAGACTACTTGTGCTCAACTTCCCCCTTACCTCCCCCCCGCCCCAAAAGGCTAAATCAGTGAAATAAATTAATTGCTATGAATTATTCAGCTCTACCTGTGGCAATGAAAAATAGCGAGAGCATTAGGATTCTTCTTTGTGTACTAAGCCTCTAATTTATAGAGAATGCATATTAATAAAACACAGGATATTCATCAATATTCAAGTCACTGGCTGCCTGACTATTTAATCTAAAATTACCAGCCAGCTCAAAACTCTTACTAGTTAATCATGCAATCTAAGCCATTCTGATATTGATGGTTAACATTAATTGCCCAGCTGCCATTTATAAAAACCTCTTCTACATCTTCCCTTTGCCTAGCAGAGAACCCTTTG